CACGTCAAGGGTGGAGACTCAAGGCATGACACGATGCTTCATTCTAAGGAATTCAATCTTAGGAACATGAAATGACTTAGTGAACATCAGTATTTTAATCTTTAGACTTGCAATAAACAAACTTCACCTCTCTGTCGTACAATTTGATACTCAAATGTTTTGTTTTTCCATGAAAAATTAGATTATGAGAAATATCCATGGCTGTGTGATTATTCACAAACACTTTCATGCTTTCTTGTTGCTCCAGATCAAGAGCTAACATAATCTTCCTTAGTCAAAGATCTAGATTAACAACTAATATTACAACTTTAAATTCAGCCTTTGCAGTTGTCTGTTCCATGATACCTTGCTTCCTTTTTATCACCATGATAATCCTCCCTAACCACCGGCAAAACAATTACCCTGAGTGCTTTTCATGTGATCATTTGACCCAACCCTCACTATCATAATTTCCTTGCAAGTTGAACTTCCGACTTTTCATGAACCTAACACCATTTTCCAAAGTTCCCTTGATTGTGCAACGATACCTTGCTTCTTTTAGAACCATGAAAAACATCCTGAACCAAGACTTAGACAATCACCTGAAGTGCTTATGATTTCATGATCAGACCAAGCCCAATCACTATCAACATACCCTTTCAAGTTGATGTTCTAACTTTTCTCGAACCTAACACAATATTCCAATGTCTTTGACATACCTTACCACTATTTTTGTTGTTTTCATGTTCATTGTACTTGCATAATTCAAAAATCTAGATAAGACACGTTCTACTTGCAGAATTTTGGTTCTCGTGGTAGTGAGATACATAAGACATCAAACCATACTTCTATAACTTCTCTCGTCAACCTTGTTACTACCATCATCTTTAATCAACTTTTCTTTTGATTCACTAGAGTGTTCATAGGTTTAAAATCTTTCATTTTGAACTTCTTCATTGTCTCCCTTTCATATTTCTTTGTAGAAATGAACACTTCATTGTCAGTTTGACGAATCTTCATTCCGTGAAAGTAAGACATTTCTCCCAAGTCTGTCATGTTGAATACTCTCTTCATCTCTTCCTTAAATTCATCTTTCATTTCAAGGTTGTTTCCTATTACAAGAAGATCATCAACATAAAGAGATATAACCATAATATAATAATCTCTTTTTTCAATAAATAGAGTTTATTCGCTAAGGCATTTCTTAAAACCTAGCCTTTAAAGTGATTATCAATTTGAATGTACCAAGACATTGGAGTTTGTTTTAACACTGCAAAGGGCTTTGTTAAATGGATACACTTTGTCGTCATGTCCCTATGCAGAAAAACCTTAAGGTTGCTCCATATAAATTTGCTCATGTAAAAAACTATTTTATAAAAAAAACAGACTTGACATCTGAAATATTTTCCAACCTTTTTGAGAAGCAATAGCTAGTAACAACCCTATAGTATCAAGCTTAGCAAGTGGAGAAAAGGTTTATGGAATAATCAACTCCAAAAATTTGTGAGTAACTTTTCACAACAACTATTTCTTTGACTCTGTTAACATATCCATCATCATTAAATTTTGTGCCATACACCCACGTCACAGCATTGATATTTCTACTTTATGGTTTTTCCATAAGCTGCCAAGTCTCACTCTTCTAAATAATTGCTCACTCCTCTTCCGTTGCAGATTTCCACTTAGGATTGAAAACGACTTCTTAAAATCTAGAAGGCACAAAATGGCCACATTGCATCTCTGGTAAATGTCGGAGTGCGACCTTATTCCTCTTATTAATAGCTAATAGATGTTACCCTTTTGTTTGGGAGTCTGTTATTAGCTTTCTTTATTTCATCCATATGATGATATGCACAGTTAGTAATCTTTACTATTTAGGACTACAATAGCTTTTTGTAAACTAGGTTTCTGTTAATATTGTACTTTATCAATTTTGTATTGGCTTTATTTAAATAGAAGGTTGTACGTGAATAAAAACATCTTTCTCTCATATATCTCAAACCCTTAGATTAGTTTTAACAAGAAAACTCTTGGATTTGAGGCTATTTATTTTGGAGTTTAGTTCAGTCACGAACTAGTCGACTTTTGACTTGCTTATTCTGACTCTGATTGTGCTGGAAATCCACAAGATAGAACATCAACTATTGGTTATGTTGTCTACCTTGGGATCTCACCAGTCTCTTGGTCTTCTAAAAATGCAAAAGTTTGTCTCCCACTCATCTACAGAAGTCGAGTACCAAGTTGTTGATGCTTTTGTTTCGAAAGTCAATTACCTTAGGAATTTGCTTTGAGAGCTTCACCTACCGTTGTTTGCTTCACCAATTGTTTTCTATGAAAATGTTAGTACCACCTACATTTGTGCTAATCCTGTTTTCCATAGTAGGATGAAGCATATATCCATGGACTATCATTTTGTTTATGAGCAAGTTCAATAGAGGGCACTTGAGGTTCACCTTCTTCACTCTATTGATCAAGTCGTTGATATCCTCACCAAACCTCTTCCCCGCACACCTTTTCAGCGCCATTTCACAAGTTGGGTCTTTTTCCAGGCACCCCCAACTTGTTGGGGCATATTAAGAGATAATAAATGTAACCATTTTGTTTAGGAGTCTGTTATTAGTGTCCTCTATATAAGCCATATGATGGTATAAGTACCTACTCATCTTTACTATCTATTAAGGACATCAATATTATTCTGGAAACTAGGTTTCTGTTAATATTGTACTTCATCAGTTTTGTATTGGCTCTATTTGAAAAGAAGATTGTACGTGAATAAAAGCACCTTTCTCTTCTATATCTCAAACATTTATACCTCTCACACATTAATCATCAATATTATCATCTGAAACTATTAGATTGCTTGTGATATGCTTCTGGTTAACTTCTTCCCAGTCCCATTACTTATTCTCCATAAAAAATACATCTCTACTTACCATAATATTTTTTGTATGAGGCTGAAAATCTGTGTAAACGTTGGAGATTGTACAATAACCAATAAAGACTCCAAGTTCAACTTTCTTATCTAACTTTTCCCTCTTAACGCGTGGAATATGTGAGAAGCACAAACAACAAAATATTATTAATTCTTGTAAGGATAAAATATACACATGCCAAACCTCAAAAGGTGTCTATTCCTTCACAACTTTTTTAGGCAACCAATTTAGCAAGAAAAAAAACAATAGTGTTAGTTGCTTCAACCCATAACTTTTTTGGTAGGCCCTTTTCACATAAAAAGAATCTCTATATCTCCAATATCGATATTTTCTTCCTTTCACTGACACAATTTATTGTGGAGTATATCAAACAATGAGTTGATCCTTAATTCCTGCATTTTCAAAAAATTCAAATCGAAGAGATGTGTACTCAGTACCATTATTTGATCCAAGCAATTGAATCCTGCAACAACTTTGACTTTGTACCAAAGTTTGAATTTCCATAACACTTCATGTACTTAAGATTTTAACATGAGAATACTAATCAAACACATTTGTGACATATTATTAATGAATTCTATAAAATATTTACTTCCATTAAGAGAATCAGTCTTATGTGGTCCATTCAAATCAGTATAGACTAATTGAAGCTTCACTGATGGTCTCGGGGTTGCCTTGGAAAAAGGAATCCTACTTTGCTTTTCGATTGACATATGTTGCAATTTAGATGTCCATCCTCTATGAGCGGTGGACCTCAAACCATGCCTTTCTTCAACATGTACAAGAGTGCCATTTGATGAAAATGTCTGAGTCTCTTGTGCCATATATTAGTTGTCATCTCTTGGATCGGATAGGCAGCCAACTTTTCCTCAATTGGATCAACGGAAAACTTTTCCTCAATTGGATCAATGGAAAACCTTTCCTCTCATTTTAACTTGACAAATTTGTTGGCCCTTTGGATCAAAGATCACAGACTTCTTATCCTCAAATGTAAGATTGGAACCATTTTCCAAATGTTGCCCAATGTTGATCAAACTTTGATCAAGTTCGGGTAAAAAAGTAAATATGACATTAACTTTGTACTTGAGTAGCTTTCAACAGCTACTGTGCCTTTCCATGTGGTTAGAAGATGATTTCCATTAACAATTATGACATAAGAGATTGCAGATCTTTCTAACTCTTTAAAAATCTGCTCATCATGAGTCATATGATTTTTACAACCGCTATCACTTAACAAACTTTTGCTTGAACTTCTACCTGCAAAAGAAGTAGCCATACACAATTGATATTTTTCTTGTTCGTCTACAATTTGAGCTCCATTTAATTGTTATGGTCCTTGTTTATTGCAAATAATCTCAGAATGACCATGTTTATGACACTTTATGCATCTCATATAAAGTTTTTTCCAACATTTGAAGTATAGATGGTTTCTCTTCCCACAATGAGAATGGTGGATATATTCCACTTTTGTTGTTGTTGTTATAATTGCATTTTGTTGCAGAAACTTTTGTTTATGTAGCATATGTAAGAGTTAGTGTTTCAATTAATTTTGAAACAAATTCATCCATTTTGAAATAACAAATACATGAATGTGAGTTGTAACATTCATTTATTTTAATTCTATGTTACAAACAATTGCAAGAAGTTTTTTTTTTAATTCTACGTTATGGGTTTTTGAAAGACAAGTTTTTTATTTCCAATTCATGAACCTAATAAATTCTATTAATTAAAAATCTTTTCTTGCAAAAACTTTTTTTCCTATAAATTGGGTTTCCTTTGGTTGAAAAAGATAAGCATTTCAAACAAAAATACTTTCCCTTGAAAATACTTGTGAGACATTGATCAAAAGGTGAAATCACCAATTCAAGAATAGAAGAGAAACATTCTTGAATGCTACTTGTTTTGTGGCTTAGTTGAATCCCCAAGATAGAGTTGTTATTTATTCTTCCGATTGCTCGAGGGAGAGACTCCAACTATCTTCAAGAAACGTATTAACGTGCCTCTAAGCCAAGCAAGTTTTATTTTGTATTCCTTGTAATTTTTTCATTCTTGTTCATTTATTCTAACAATTTGAAGATAGTTGTCTCTATGGCATCCACATCAATAACGAACAATGTTCCATCTTTGCCTAATCCTAATTTTGAAATATTTGATGGAAAAGACTTTTCTAGATGGAGTGGAAAGATGGAATTCTTTTTAAGACGATTAAAGTTAGCGTATGTTCTTGAGAAACCTTGTCCTGAGGCTCCTAGTTCTGTGGTAGCAACGGACGAGGCTACTTTAATTAAAGAACAAATTGCCAAATGGCAAGATGATGATTACTTATTCAAGAATTATATTCTTGGAGGAATTTTCAATAAATATTATGATCAATATTATATTAAGTGTAAATTTGCTAAGGAGATTTGGGATACTCTTAAAACTATTCATTTAGTAGAAGAGGCGAGTTCAAAGAAATTTTTTGTTTCAAATTATATGGAGTTCAAAATGGTTGATGACAAGTCAATCACTGAACAAGTACAAGAATTTCAACTTATAGCTAATAAAATTGTTATAACTAGAATTGCTCTTGATGAAAACTTTCAAGTTGGTGCGATTGTCTCAAAACTTCCTCCATCTTGGAAAGAGTACAGAAGCAAACTCTTATACAAGAAGGAAGATTTGACTCTTGAACAATTATTGCAACACTTGCAAATTGAATAAGAGACAC